GTTAAATTTTGGAATTTTAATTAGTTTTCTCTCGTGCGATGATTCGTGTCTCTAAATAACAACTGCATGCATGTGTCTGAGGTGCAGAATTCTTGAGGTAATGATTTCTACATGAATTATATCTGAGAAAAGAGCAAATGCTATCTCACTTGTATATGTACACTTCGGTTTTCCAGTTACTATGAATGTTCTTGTATCGCTGATCTCCTGACCATCCCCATTCACACAATAGCAATAGGAGCGGTAGCACTGTACAGGACTGTATGAACCATCCGGACGGCACCGAGGAATAAACTTATCAATGGCGTTACTCCTTAGGGCATCTTGATACGCTCTCCAGCAAGGGGTTAACGGTGCTCCTATGGAATATGAATCCACCAATAAACGTCAATCGATATCAACTTTTAGAACTAGAAATTACATTTCACTGTAACACTAAATTTCAACAAAAAAAAATTATTTGAGATTACCTCTTCTCGGACATCTAATTGCATTCCTACTTTTAGTTCCAGGTATTTCGTCCCCATTCTCATCAACACACCAACAGTAGACACCATTCTTCTCACACTGCACCTCCTCGAAACTGCCATCTCTCTTACATCGAAAAGCGACACCTGGTGCACCGCTGTAGGTTGGGAGGGCTTTTAGCTGGCATGGAGTCAGTAATCCTCCTGAAAATAAAGTTCCTTTGTTGAATTAAGGGTACAGTGGCTGGTTTCCTGTATAATCGACGTCTAATGATAGACAGTAGTCTTTGGGTTTGGTTTTCCTGAACCGCGAAATCCAGATTGTGCCATCAGGCATCACACGGAGCCATCACACGAGGGAAAGTGCTTCGCGAAAGCAATACCCTTGGTTAATGTACCTGAAGACTGATGTGTCCACGACTTTAGCGAGGGCTGCCGTACATTGACTTCAAACTCAGGGAAGGTCCGCTCATTTTAAATTTTTATATTGGTCAGCTTCAATCCGCCGTCAAAGGGTTGTTCTGTTTAATTCGTATTTATGTTTCATGTTTGTTAATAGCTGTATCGAGCATCCGGTTAAAATTATTCACTCATTCTTAACATACGACGGCGCTGCCATGATTGCAAAGTACACTTTTCATATTAAAAGGCGATTGGGCTAAAATTGAGTGACACGCGCCCATCTGCGAAGTGTTAAAATTATTTGATTTACCTTCTTTTGAACATTTCGGTAGCCCATTGCTGCTGTAGACGCGTGTATTCGACAGTTGTTGTCCATACTGATCGACACAAAAGCAGTGATCACCATAACATTGACGCCAATTAAATCCACCGTCAGGCCGACACCAGGGGATATACCGTCCTTGAACTGGGTTTCTGGACTGCTCCATGTAACGTCTTTGACAGTCAGTGTATTTAGGTTGAGTGGCTGTTAAAAATGACGAAAAATTAGTGCCAATGTTAGATTCAAGAACGCTGGAAACGAGGCAGACAATGCATAATATTTTGTCTTTCATATAAGTAAGTTCAACTTGATCTCTCTAAAATATACACTAACAAATCTGTCATAGTTTATACACCTGTCAACTAAATATTTTAATGTATTACGCAATTGATATACCTGGATCAGGACACTGAAGAGTTTTGGTTGTTCTTGTTCCCGGTATTTCATTCCCATTTCTATCCACGCACCAGCATTGTCTAGATGCTCCACTACATTGCAGCCCCTGATATCCACCATCGTCTTTACAACGCGGAATGTAGCCTCCAAGTTTTGGATTTTGAATCGCTTTTCTGTATGCTTCTTGACAAGGCGACAGCTTATCTGTGTTTACAGGTTAAATTGTACTATAAGCATCCGACAACTCAAAGATAAAACTAAGTAATGAAACTATGAGAAACAAATGCAACATACATGGTGCTGTACAGTTTGGTTTGCCGGAGGCAAGAGGTGTCTTTGTCCCAGTTATTTCATTGCCATCCTTATCGACACAAAAGCACACGGATCCACGGCATTGTACATCAGCATAGCTGCCGTCTAGTTTGCATCTTGGAATAAACCCATCAACGGCGGTATCTTTTGTAGCGGCAACGAATTCTCTCTGGCACTTAGTCTCCTTCTTATCTATTTATAAAATGAAAATAGAGTGAACACGATTAATCATGATCATGATTCTGTAAGGGAATTGCCGTGCTAGAGTGGTATGGAGTAGTTCGTAGTCAATAGATTCACTTGCAAAGAGTGATGCATTTGTCAACCAAGCAAGCCGGTTTTCTTCAAAATGCGAAAAAAATTGTTTTCCAAGAAATGTGGTTGTTAGTGGAGGTTTATTTTACTTGATATGAATTACAAACACAAACCTTCGCATGCTGCCTTCTGTATTACCGTCAATATCGTTTTCAACTCTTTGAAACTATTCACTCTAAGTACTTTTCCAGGATCGGATGCTATTGTTTCCAGTTCATCTCTCTTGGCATTCTTTCCTACACCAATAGACCATACTTCTATTCCTTTATCTTTCAGTGGTTTAGAGGCGATATCCAGAGGAACGTACGGACCTTTTTTACCATTAGTTGTTTGAGCACCATCCGTTAACACAAAGCAAACCTAATATCAAAGAGACAGATTTATGAGCGATTAACCTTTTAACCCCTAAGTGTCTAGCATCTAATTTCTCCTTACAGTATCACCCTTGAATCAAACATTAAGGTCATGAGAATAAAGGAGATGATCACCAACCAACTAAAGAAGCTTTTGATTGTTGAACAAATTCTCCTTGTCAGAGCTCTGGGAAATGTCTAGTGAGTAGTATGGAGAGTATGCGTAATGATGTTAGGGAGTAAAGGGTTAATATAATTAAATCGTGGTAATTTAACGGAGTTACAGATGTTCGACTGATGCCAGGTCTAATTGAGATTTAAATCGTTGACTTAAAGGCGGCTATTCTCGTTTTAAAACCTCAGTGCCGCTCGATGACTCCTTTATACCTATGAAAAGCGGAGTTGGGACCGACACAACCTGTAGTTCTCAGTCTTCGAAGTAACCACTCCTTAAAATGAAATAGACTGAACCATGGTCTTGAACCATAGACTTGAAAATAACCAATCAAAGAAAGTCGTGATTCTGGCAATGTTTCCTTGAAAAATATGCCAGTCACTTTTTAGAATCCAAGAGTATCTCGGTATATCGAACACACTTAAGGGCTTTAAAAGACTGAGACTCGGAAAGAGTCTCAATTACCCTACGCCAGATCTTCAGTAAGGGAGAACCCTTTATATGACCAACAACAACCCATTAGTGTGAAAACAGGGAAAGAAAGGGACTGCGAGGACAAAATACCCAAAACAATCACCGCGACCCTTAGATATGCTCATTATCTAGCCAATAATACCCACGAGAAATCAAAGCACATCGCACAAGGTTGAATTCCCAATTTTGTTACGATCAAATTACGTTTGCTTGCATCAATACCTTTCTAACCGCCTGTCTCATTCCACCTTTGTCGCTAAATAATTCCTCGTTGGCAAGTTTCAGTGCCCTATCGATGTAGGTGAATCCTCTCTGGTGTTTTATTGCGTCAACAAACTTGTGCAATTCTTTCGCATTTAGTTTGTCATTTGCCAGAGTGTTGAATCTGAAATCAACCTTTGGATACGATGAGTAAGAGACAGAGGCAACGTGAGACCCCTTGGGGGAGACATTCAGCGATGAAATTGCATCCTTGACAAAAGCAAGCAGCCTTTTCCAGTTAGATCGACCAATACTTCCAGAAGAATCGAGAACAAACGCTAGATCCACAATAGCTTTGCACTTCTCTATAAGAAGGTAAGAAATGATCTGTGAAAATCGTATCATATAAGTAACGTTTATCTTCAAACCTAATTGCTTGATCTCAATCAAAGTTTAATCCCGATAAAAATGTTTGAATGCACCAAAATCTAGAGACAAAAGTACGAGGGAATTCACATGATAAGCTTCGGTCCATCGATTGGCGTGGATATTAAGTCGTTTACCAGACAGCGCCTGGTAGAACTTACTTGTTTTTCGCGCTTTGACCTACGAGACGTATTTTTAACATTTACTCCAATTGCACTCTTACGGAATTTTTTCAGAACCACGTGCACAAATAGGTGTTAGTGAGGCTACACAAACGAAAGGTTAGACTTAAGTAGGAAAATTTTTAATTCTAGGTATTTTTGCGTCAATTTTACCTTTAAACTCCGGTTCAACGCAAACACGTCCACATAGCCGATCACAGCATTTCATATTTTCGTCACAATCGTGATCAACTGAGCACTCGTCGGTGGGAAATGGACAGTCTGATTGGTCACTAGGTGGAGCAGGGCACGTGCCTGGCTTATCTGAAATGTGCATAAATTCATGACTCTTAATTATTATGTGTGATACACACGCAAAAATAACAAGTTTGACATCAAGGAATCCATACCATTTCAGGCAAGATTTTTAGCCATTTCCACCACGCCCCAACCCCACCCACGCTCTCCCCTTCCTAAAAATTTTCTCTCTGACAAGTATTGAATTGACATGTCGATACTTCCATACTTCACAGAGTCCCTCAAATGCAGCTACAACTTAAGTGTATCCATCGTAGATTATGGTGCTGAGAGTTCAAGTGATAATCGTTCGTACCTGGAAAAACAGGTTTGACGCACTCTTTTTTGCAGCTCCCTTGGCAGCATGTTCTTGAGCAGCACCTTGTTCCCGGTGGACAGTCATTATTTGTAGAACATTGGTCATTTCCACATAGGTGTTGTGCAACGGACCGCGTCCGGGGTGCTGGACAAATTCTGTTGTCTGGTACTTCTGCGAAAAAAAAATTGAATAAATCGTCAAACCCATAATCTAAAACATAATCCAAAACCTAATTTACGCCAAGAGCTCAAACCTACCTTTCCTCTTGCACACAGCTTCGCACGTTTCCTTGTTGAGAAAGTTGTTTGAATTTCCTGCACAACCAGAGTATATGAATGGAACACATTCTTCCACATTACTGTTAAAATTCCACCGAATTATCAATCTTGAACAATTTCCAACTGCGGCAGGCTCATCACAAAAATCAACTTCTGCTGGAATAGCTGCTGCAAAGAGAAAGAAAAGCTGTCCTTACAAAGATAATAAGTCAAAAGAGAATAATCACAATATATTGACGGACATACTCGGCGGATGACATGGGAATCCCTCCCCCCCCTCACACACAAACACACACATACACACACACGCACCTCTTGACAGGTATAAATAGGTAGCACACTTTGAGGAACTTTCAGGAAAATCTGAAGATATCTTCGGTTAATCAGCGGTGGTAAATGTCTTCTACAGGGAAGGGGGGACACTGGGAAAGATCAATTAAACAAACAAAGAAAAAGGCATCCAAGAAACAAATAGCTGGAGAAGCTACGCTTTACTGCACTTACCTTCGATTGTAACATTAACAAGCGCCCTGACAACCTGGTTTCCATCTGGTCCACCTACTGCCTCGCAAGTGTAAACGCCACCATCCCCTTTAAGTACGTTCCTGAACGACAAAATGTTTCCAAAAGGGCGTATTCTCAATGGTAGTGGTCCACGGTTTGGAAGCAGCCATGTGTACGAGATGACAGTTCCTTCAATTCGACATGTTATATTACCACGTTCCCCTTCGGTCAATTCTTGATAACCTTCATGAGTCGGACTCACCTTAAAGGGTGGTTCTAGAGATGTAAAGAGAATAGTTCATGAATAATATGTTTGCAAGATAGTGTAATTGTTTTAAATGGGAATTATGATAACACATGTACTTCTACTCCATCTTATAGGTTCTTTTTCGTACACAGGTTTTGTCCTCTATGTTAAAAAACAAATGGTTCATGCTGTGCATATATGGAGTTATGGATTCACTTTGGAAATTTGAGTAGCTCTCGGCCTCGTATTAACTATTCCTTGTGCTCCACTCGTGCTCTCCGAAATTCCTTCCTTGCATCGATATTTCGTTATACACAAGCTATGCATGAGTTGTTCAATTTACCTGTTGGAGATTGCGTGATGGGCGGAGTGGTTGTTGTTGGTTTGACCACCGGTTTGGAACCACATCGATGTAGGTGTTTCATCTTCAGAGTAGTGTCTCCGATAATACACGCGGTTCTCAACAATTCACAAAGGTTTTTGTAGGTGATGCCATCAGTTCCACAAACACGTGGAACTGGACGATTTCCTATGCAGCGTGGAGGACATAGGCATCTGGCTCTGGGACCACCCCTAAAGCAAATCTCTCCATGCCCGCATTTTTTTCCAGCACAAGGATCTGGAGACGAAAACAATTTTTCGCTATGTTCACCTTTTCAAACATTCGCTTGTTCCTTAAGAAATATTCAAATGGCGCAAGTTCTTAAAGATATTTTGGCTCTATTATGGCCCAAAGAAGTCAACGTGCATGTTGCACAAAGTATATGCGCCGTTAGCATACTACAACTTCGTTAAATATGATATCAAATCTATGAAATTCACTAAAATCCAGTTTCGTTCGAAACGTTGTTTTCACCGAGTCAAACATATCCGATAGTAAAACTTCTTTATGGCAACAACTTGAAATTGCTTTTCTCACCATTTTCTGAATCTTCGTCAACGCAGTAAGCCGTCCCACACGAATGGTAGCAACAGATGCCTCGTCCAAGACAGTCCGTGTTTGAGGAACAGGAGGTGCCTCTCAATGGACAAGGAAGGTTTTGCCACAATTTACATGTGCCAGACTGATTAAGTTCATCTATTCTGTTGTCAGGTGGTTCATAAAAGAGACCTAAAGAGTCAAGGAAATATCAAATCAGCATCCAAAAAAGTTTGAAATGTGCACGTGTGGAAGGATACGAGAAGGGTCTCATTAGAATGAAATCCCCTTAATTGACGGTTAAATAACAAGGTAATTTAGTATTATCAACTCAGTGAGTTGATAACGCAAACTGGCCACCGTATAGAGTTAAAAGGCCGACGTTTCGAGCGTTAGCCCTTCGTCACAGCGACTAAGGGCTAACGCAGAGCTCTGACGAGGGGCTAACGCTCGAAACGTCGACCTTTTAACTCCATGCGGTGGCCAATTGACGTTATCAATCGATAATACTAAATTACCCTATTATACTCTCCCACCGACGCAGCACCACAGTTTCTTTAGAAACTTAACCCGCTTATAACTAAAAAACAAGTTGTTTTTCAGGGTAGACGGTTACATCTTAGGCCAATTCTTGGTTGATTGGTCAACCGAAGGACATTAAGACCCTCAGGAATGAATTGCACAGTACCTTTGCCTCATTAAAAGAAGGCGTACCATGTAATGGCTAGAGAGAATTGTACGGGAACCTTCTGACGGACAAATAACATTGACAAAATGTGCGAATGGTGCACCCATTTATGTTGAAACAAACGACACATTATAGTCTGTTTCATATATAATTGATTTCACATGACTTCTTCAAAAAGTATCTGGACTATCAGGGTGATTTTTTTTTTACTTCGTGTTGCTCAGGGTGCTGTAACAAACTTGGTTATTGAGAATAGATTTTTATCTGTTTTAGTTTGATAAAACGTGGCTGCTGTTGCAGCGTGGCTGCTGTTGCGCTTTGAACTTGTGGCCATCTATCTCGTGCAAGAGGCACTCGCGTTCAAGAACGATTAATTAACCTGTTTGGATTGTGCTCTGCTCCGAGACGCTGACAGAGGAGACGTAAAAGTGCCTGGGCACATTTTTCTCCCCAGACCCCCATTGCTTTAACAGCGTAAATACGTATGCGTATTTTACCAATTCAATAAATCAAACTTGAGGGAACTTAATCTAATCAGTCAGTTTCACCATATTGACACTCCGATACATATCAGTAAATTTCTGATCTCAACCGCCCAGAAGTACTTTGGTCGTCCAACGAAGTTATCAAATATCCATAAAGCTATTTAGATCAGATCCTCTGGTATGCTTGGACTTGCCAAGAGATAAGAAAGAAAATCTGTATTATCTGGTGATAATACGGCTGATCTGAAGGGAGAGGGGGAGGGTGAAGGGGAGGAGAGAGAGAGAGAGGAGAGAGGGGGAGGGTGAGGGGGAGGAGAGAGAGATGAGAGAGGGGGAGGTAAGGAGAGATGCGGAGAATGGTAATTTATTTTATTCATACTCATGGCTGACAATCGATTCAGCGTTGCCTGGCAATACTTTGTACAAAAGAGTAACTTTTTCATGTAGATGAAATTCATGATCACTTTATATTCTTTAAGTAGTTTATGACCTCTTCCCGAACTCCCACATTGAAAACATAGGATATGAAAATTTATAAAAACAACGCCACATTTTAATCAAAGTGCGTCTGTCAAAATTATAATTGATACAATATGAGATCATGTTGAAATAGTGTTCATAGGCTGGTTTAAAAGGCCCCTCTGGCAAGTGGCACGATATCATTCAGATAATAACACATGGATAGCAGCTGTATGAATTCTCTTTATATTTTGAATGATATCTTACTGCGAATCCCTATTTCTTTAATTAGCTGGGGGAAGTCATATGGCTAAAGAACCATGTGTTCAACTTTGTGTTTTTCAAAGAAACTGCGAACGTTATCGTAATAACGAGAAGCTAGATAACGACTTTTTAAAAGGGTGCACACGTGAAAACCTCAATCCCATATAAATATTTCTTAGGAAATGATGTGGGCATTTTTCTAACCATAACGGTTGTTCCGTGTCAATCGGAGAACACCACAGTTACTCTATTTTTTTTGTCAATTTTCCGAAAAAAATTTGAAAGCAAACGGCAGCAGATCAAACTATGCTTGTGCTTTCTGTGCAAATAAAACTCGGTGAAGTGATTCGCCTAACTCTCTAAACATCGTCTCTGCCATTTAAACGCGCGTATAGCAATCAAATCTTTGTTCGAGCAAGTATAGAAAAAATTCTGAAAAAGGACTGCAGCTTCACTTGTGGGATGGTTATTTACACTGGTAATAAACTTGTGTTATGCACATTGAACAGATTATTCAATAAGCGCAATAAGAGATGTGTTTTACCTTTATTCAAGGGGGGGAGGGAGCGCCCTTATCTCTCCCTTGGTTGGTCGATTGCGTTACAATCTCACGTCTCAAACATATTAGTCTCAACAAATAAGTACTTGAATAGTTTGACGAGTTGAAATGTAAACACATATGGAGAGAAATAATCATTATTGTACTTTTTTCTCTCTTGCCTCTTAAATATAACAACTTAGCCGATGAAAGTGGCTCCCCTCTGGAAAGTTGCTTTAAAACACAAATTCCACGGTGCATGTTTTCAACGTCAAATCGCCTAAAAAAGGCGTAAAAAAAAAGCATCCCTTGGTATGTGTCGACGCGTCAGGAAATTCATGTGGAGAGCCTTTCATTGCGTGCCAGATCTATTAAAATGCTTTACGGGCACAATTTAAATGTCGAGTCGAAGATCAGGGCACAGGGCAAACTAAATGTACTGGGAAAAACTTGACGCTCCGAACCATCTTAAGTTTTGGTTACCCTGCCTTTGTTCGGTATTCGTCCCGCGCAGTACAATTTTCTCCGCTAATACGAAAGGAGCTTTGTATTCGTATGCGTTCTTGTTTAATCATGCTTGTAATATTTGGATGAACGAAAGCTTCTTTGAAATTGTCGTGTCATACACCACACACATCTGTATCGCTGAAATCAGCACGCGATCGAGAAAAACGATATTCCTCTTACAGATTGATCTCAAGATAATATCCACAAACAAGAAAGACCAGAAGAACGATTGTATCTATTTTGCTTTCTCTTCATTTATTTTTTCTCGTAAATTTTCTTTTCCACGGGAAACTAAACAAATTCAAATACACACCTCATGGGTGTGTAAAGAAAGGCCATGTGCCAAGAGATGAAAATCCCTTCCGGTTTTAGCTCCTTTAGCGTGCGCTGATGCGAAAACATAGAGCGTAACTGTTTTCTTCGCTCATTTTCGCTTTCGTAAGTATAAACCACACCGGAAAGGAAAATTTCTACCACGATTAACCTCCCCATCGGTAAATAATTGTTCAATGTGAATTCAACTTGATGATTGTGCAGTGACAGAAAAGGAAAGAGTTTGATTAAATTGAACTGCAAAGTTCAAGAGCCGGAAATGTCCAGAGTTTCTCTCTGATAGTCTAGAGTGCTTTGTGAATATAGTTTGAAAATTTCAAGCTTTGATAACTATCGTCCCTTTTATGCTCATGCACTTGAATAATTCTTGGTAGCATTCCAGGATTTTCTAACGGGCGAAGAAAAGAAGACCGAATGGCAAAAATTGAGAACAGACGATTAACGCAGTTGACCATAACAAATTTACTTTTAATATCAATTTATACATGGTTTTACGTGGAGGTTTCCAAAGTATGTCACCAAAATATGTAGACAAAGAGAAGACTAGAAGCAATTTGGGGAGTGCTGACTGACAGTTAAAATTCATCGAGATAAACAGTTTTTTTTTCAAGAGGAGCATGTTTTTACCAATCGTCTTTCACCGCAAATTATGCAATACATACTTCTGGTTTCTTACAGCATCCTCTCGGACAGAAGGCACGTGGATTCACTAATTACTAAATATGGTGTCTGTGACTCAATTTTACTCGAAACATGCAAAACTTGGCAATGATAGGAAGGCTTCAGCGTAAATACAGAGAAGAACTTTAAGGCGTGAAACATTTGCAGAATGCGTCACGCAGTTGTAACGAACGAATAATTTGACAGCAGAGTTTTTGAATGGTGAGTGACAATTCTAACCCCCGATCGGTGTAGTACATGGAAAGAAGCAAAACCCGACCTTCTAAAGAACTTTGCGTACGCTGTAACTGGATTCCAGTCTTATCGCATATGAGTCTTGATTGCTACACGCGTTTAAAAATATATTGATATCTTACGGGAATGCTCTGTAAGCCCAGAATAGTTCGACACTGTATCTTTCCAATCCCATCTCCACACTTCTCACTTTTTTAAATAAAGGATTGCTGCTAGACGCTGGTTGATAAGCAAATTAGCAAGCCAAGCAAACATATTTTCTCAACAAGCGGAACGGTGTGCATCGTGCTTTCTCACGCTACAGTGTATTCTTAACAAAAAACAAGTTAATTCCATCAACGTACCTGAGGTCCCGCGAATTAACGTGTAACAGCACACCAGGATCGCAACCGAAGCCCTCATTTCAAAGCCATGAAAAGCCAAGTGTGATACTTTTAGACGTACAGAGGGTTGGCTCCGAAATGCACCCCGACACAATCATGAAATGATTTTATTGAAAGGTTTTATTGCACAAGATCACATTTCAACTCAAAGAGCGATTGTGTCTCATACCATGGGAGGGCGTCTAATGACACTTGTCAAAATCTTATCAGCGGTAATATCACCCACTGGAAACACTCCTGCGCACGAAACCGTGTACCCAGAGTCTCGTGAAAGTACATTACGAACAATTGTCACCGTAATAGTTCCTTAATGTTAATCTGAATTATACCAAACAGGATTAATAGTCTATGAGGATTTTCCGCCTCTTGGGGTTTCC